TATATATATATATATATATATATATATATATATATATATATTAATTTAATTAAAAAATAATGAATATTTTGCCAAACTTATTTAAACTTATACAATTTTCAAGGTTTTCCACTAATTAAAACTTTCGTTTCTTTTATGCAAAAAAGTTATTTAGCTAAGATAAAAATATTGCATGCCAAACATCGATAGAATAAGATGTAATAACCTTGTACCCAAAGTTTTTTATATCAAATATTAAGCATAAATTATCTTGTTAATTCACCTAATGCACAAAGTTATAAGTTAGAAACTATGAAATTGACTAATAAAATGTAGTAGTCAAGTTTTTTAATATATTCACAATTATTATTGATCAAAATTACAAAAATTAATATCTAGTACAGTTTTTGATAATTATGATATTCTTTCATTAATTCATTAATAAATTTGAATTTTTTGTGATAAATGTCAACTACGTAGTTAAGATAATACAATGCCTTTACTAGTATTATTCACACTTATTATGTTAATACTAATAGTGCTATAATGGTAATTACAGTAATAGCAATAAGAAAAATAATAATATAAGGCATGACACATCATGCCTTATACCGTCATCATGTGTAATGACATTTTCTCGAAACAGTACAACGACCTAAATAATCTAAATCATATGAGGTCAACCCAGAACGTATTCTATCCCTGCTATATTCATTCTTCACCATGATTTTTATGTTCTTAGAAATTCATCATTGCTTAAACTTATACTTAATTGAAAATGTATATAAATATTGTTTGATATGTATATAAATATAAATATATACATGTCAAACAATATATCAAATTTTTGTACAAATTAATCATTTTAGAAAAGAAATAATAACATGATTTACAAATATTTTTTATGAAGATTAAGTAAAATTATTATTCGACTTGAAGAAATGCAATCTGAACTCAATTACCTGATTTTACAAAATTCTTTCTTTTTTAATTAATAAACTCAATTATCTCAAAATATTCTCGTCTGCGATATCATTGCATGACCTGTTAAAATTTATTCTTTTGACAGAATGCTCCAAATTTAATTTATTTATTTAAATTTAAACACTAATAAAGATTTTCAAATTAAACTTTTCACTATAATCAATCATTTGACTTAAATTTGTTCATTTTTTGCATAAATGTAATAATGAAAGCATAAATAGTAATTTTAGTAAAAATTCGAATTTTAATACATGTCATATTATATTTTTCAGGAATAAAAGCATTGGAAAAAAAGAAAGCTGAAAAATTTTTCAAATTTTGATGAAAATTTGTTTAATTCGTTATTTTCAGGGCGCACTTTTTTTTAAATTAAATGCAATACATTATAAAGTTTATTTAGTAGAAAGAAACCTTAATCAAAAATGGTTTAAATGTTGCGTAGTTACCTTTCTTTCCTATTAAATAATTCCGGCGGGAAATTAGAAACTTTACTGCGTTTAATTAAAAAAATTTGTAATATATCAAAAAATTACTTTTGCAAAAAAGTATATAATTTTCAACAAAATAAGAATACGTAGCAAATAAAAACAAGCAAAAATTCCAACGTATCAGAACACTGCCAAAAAATTTTCAAACAATAGTTCAAGATTTAAAAAAAATAGTTTTAAAAATTACAAGCATGCTTTTATCAAATATAGTTAAGAAGAATTTTAAAAAAGCTATAATTAATTTCATATATTGTGTGAATTTACTCATTTAGCATGTTTCTTGCAAAATAATCTCAAATTTAATCAAGCAAAACTAATTCTTTTCTCATTGTAGAATTTAATTTTAAGATAAAACTGTTTGCAAGAGTAGTATTTGTGATAGCAGGCTACTGTAATCAGATTTATTTAGTTTTTAATGAATAGAATAGAAACAAAAAATATAAAAATAATTTCTCGTGTTTTAAAATTACAAGTTGAAGCATAAAAGTTGTTCAAAATGGATATGGTAAAAGTTTTTGTAATTAGAAAGTTATCAATTCAAATATAAAACTATAAAAAATGACGTGACATGTTTGAAAGAGATATTATTATATTCTCATTATTTAATTAGGATTATATCTCTTGTTTTTTGCGCAATTCCTTGCAAATCTGTATATCTCTTCAAACACGGTTTCACTTGGGCAATTATTCACTTTTTTTTATTCTGAGTATCTAAAAATGTTTGGTTTTTTGAATTTGTATAGAAATAAGTTTGAGAAAGCAATTATATTTTGATCAAAAGCTTGTAACTGCACTGTTCTAGTTGCATTTTTGAGCAAATACTATTCAAATTATAATGTGTAAAAAATTTTTAGATTATTTTTTGTCAATAGAATTTAAGAAGTAGCGTTACTGCATTTGGTATACACAAGAAAATAGTTGCATTAAAGTTTGCCATATATTGCAGTTGTTTCCATGTACCAAATAAGATGTAATTACCATATACCAAATACATCATATTTGGTATATGGTAATTTTCGCATGATTGATTGTCGAAAAATCAAGAAAACAATTTATAGTTGTACAATGAATTGTTGTATAATGGAGGTATACATATAAATAACATTACAGTTCAAGATTGAAAAAAAGAATACTTTCTACAAGTTTTGTCATTAGTGATTCAAATATTTTAATAATTATTATTACATAATAATATAATAATATTTAATAAACAAGCATAAAGTTTCATTTTATGACAATAAATAAGCTAAAGATTAATAATAGCAATTCATTGCAATAAAAGTTGAAAAACACTGAGAAATAAAAACTTAGCAAAAATAATTATAAATTTATAAGCGTATTGATAGGATATCCAATTGATTTGCAAATGAGCAAGCATAATTAGTTAATAAACAAATTATAACGATTTACAAAAAATGGAAAAAATAAAACATGCTCAAATCAAGTTATAAAGAGCATTAATTAATATGCTAGGAGATAATCTAAAATAACAAGTTAAAAATGAAAATTAAAAGGTATGAAAAAATTAACTACATTCATGTTGATCTTTTTAAAATTTAGCAAAAAGTGTATAATTAAAAATGCTAGAACAGTTATGAATTTTGTACTTTTTAATTGTAATAACGTAAATGTTAATTAATTTTATTTAAAATAAATGTAATTTATAGGAACAGTTAGCAGCTACCCGTGCATACTGCAAGCCTAATTATTATGGCAGTAATTTTCAAATTGACTATTTTGTTAATTATTCTTGATAAATGGTTGAATCAGTAACAGAAGCAGGAGCAGAAGCAGAAGCAGGAGCAGAAGCAGAAGTAGAAGTAAAAGCAGAAGGAATCTGAAGATTTGCATCACTATCTAATAATTGTTGTTGCTGTGAAATTTTGCTTGAATGTAATTTGCTTGATAATAGCTGCCATTGCTTCATTTTTCCATCTGTTGTCAGTCCAGTTAATTGTGCTTGTTCAAATTTGGGAGGTTCCAATTTACGTTCACTTTGTTTTAGCATTTCTTCGTTAACTTGTTTTTGTTCTGATGATGATGCTCTTAATAATGGTTCTGAATTTTTTTGTTGCTGATGTGAAATATCCGCAATTACTATTTCTGTATCTTGACATACACAAGTACCAGGTGTACCTGAAATTTATCATTTTTCATTGAGATTTTTCAAAATTATAGTATTCAGAATTTTCTTCATGTTGAGATTAAAATACTTTAAATTTATAATTAAATATTTGAAAAAACCTGATGGTCCTGGTTCTCCTTGAGGTCCTGGTGCTCCAGGTAATCCAACTGCACCTGGAGCACCTGGTGGTCCTGGCCAACCTTTTTCTCCAGGTGGACCACTATAGCCATCCTCACCATTTGATCCTATAAAAATAAAACAGAATAAAACAAGAATTATAAAGCAAATTCTACAAATAGTAGAATAAAATATGTTAACCTGGATATCCTGGTGGTCCCCAAGGTCCAGGATCACCTGGATCTCCTGGAGGTCCAGGAATCACATGAGCATGAGGAGTAAAGCCTTTGTCACCCGGTGGTCCTGGAAGACCAGTTGGACCAATTGGACCTGGCGGTCCATCTTCACCAGGCTTTCCACGCAATCCATCAGCACCTAGAAAGTGTAAATTCAACGTAAATAATTTTCGATCATTAAATCATATACAGCACCAACAATTTCAAATTAACAAAATAAACCGCTGTAACAAAATTACCAGGTTTTCCTGGTATACCTGGGTCCCCTGGATCACCTGGGAAACCAGGATGCCCTGGTACACCTCTTGGTCCTTGTGGACAAGGAAGGCATGGTGGTGGCTCGAATATACGTTCCGGAATACAAGAAGCATTTGGAGTTACACCAGGCCTACCTGGTGCGCCATCTGGCCCAGGACTTCCTGGAAGTCCTGGAAGACCAACATCTCCTGGTGCTCCTCGTTCACCAGGCATACAACATGCTGCAAAAATTGCGTAATTGATATTATTGCCATCCATCATATCAAAACGATAAAAATTATGATTAATATGAAATTTTCATACTTTCAATAATAAGATTTACTCATAACTATAAATTTTTTTTTTTTTGAGGTATATTATTTATTCTGTAGATAAATGATGGATCTGTTTTATCATATAATCTTACTTGTACATATCACTACTGCTGTAATTTAAGTTTCTAAGTCTAATTAAAGTTCTATGCGAGTTGAAACAGAAATAATTTGGGAAATTAAAAAAGAGAGTTAAATATGAAGTGAACAAACAAGATTTTTACGTTGAAAAAGATAAACTAATTAAGTGGAAACAGAAAGATAACAAACCAGGACATTCCTGAAAGATAACACGTTCTGTAGCAAGCATTGTTGGATTAAAACTGCTGTACTGTGGCATTTCTCTCCTTGTTCGATTACGATTTGACATTCGTACCATCGAGAGCTCTTCTTCAAGATCAGCTGCTGCACTCTGTACAAAATTGTAAAAATTTATTACTCAAAAATTTCATTTTAATCTTGATCAAAATTTCATTTTAATTTTGATCAAATTTTTTTCAAACCTCTTTATAATTCATTTCTTGTTATTAAATTCGAAGCAAAAACTTACTCATTATTTTTTAGCCTAAATTATGTAAGTTTTATAAGAGAATTAAACAAAAATCAAGCATGGTAATAATTATAAAAAATTAATTTTTGATATTTTACTTCTAAAGCAACACTTTTTTGAATATCAAACACAATTGTCAAAACTATATTTCATTAAAGCAAATTTTTAATTTCATCTCAATTTTCTGATAATAAATTTTCAATGCATTTGAAATAACAATTTTGAGTCTTTAATTTATATGAAGTTTTTAAAAAGCATTGTTCTAAATGTCTAATTGTATTTTCTACTGATATTAAATAAAATAATAATATCTGATGAAAAAAAGTTGACACATTTATAATTAAATATCTTCACACATGACTTCAATTTAAGCAGAAATCCATATGCTTGTCTTAAATTGAGTTATATCCTTCCATCTTGCGCAACAAACGAGTCTAAACTTTAAGTTTCACGGAATTTACGATTGATTTCAATATTTATATCTATGATATTTAGAAATTTCTTAAACTGCATTCACACATGATGTAAAATAGCAATTTCCACAACTCATTTCTATACTTTGATGTATTTTATCAAAATTTATTCATCCCTTTTTAATTATTTAATGCATAAAATGAACTACACATTTAACACACATACAATAAATTATTAATTTCCTTTTTTTGTAACGAAGAAAAACTTTTGCATCTAAAAATCTTCAGATAAAAACTTGTATCTAACAGTCATTTATCAAAAATACTATTCCGATCTATCTGCAAAAGACTGGCAAAAACATTACAATCATTTTATAGACATATTTAAACAAATATTTTTACTTAAAAAATCATTTAAAAGCTATTGCAAAAAATACTCAAAAATTTTTGACTAAGAATAAATGATATGCTTATGATTTCAAATTATATATGGTTTACATAGATTTAAACATTTTTAATTAATTTGAAAGAAAAGCTCGATTATCTAATATATTGTATTTTGCTATGACGGTAAATATTTTCAAAAAGGATTAAATTTATATGCAAATTTAAAAATTACTTCACAGTATGCAAAATCTTGTCTAGTGAATGTTCCAATATTGTCGACAAAATTATAAGCAGATGGTGCAACCAGACATAATATGAGTAAGCTGAATATACTAATAGTACTTGCGACGGATATAATACACTTGAAAGCTCGTTCACGTCGATCATCAAATGGATCAAACTCCATAATATTACATGTCGTAATTGTTGAATCGCTTAATCGGCGTGAACCATAGATGGTGCCATTTTTTGGTTTCATCTCCCTTTACAGGGAGTGTACTGATGAATCAGTAATTTTACTTCTTAAAAAGCCAATTTAAACATATGAATATTCAATTTACATACAAATCAGTAAATATTAAATTGATTAGCCATCCGAAGCAAGCATATTTATAATGTTTAAGTAATTATTGAATGATTTTACACATTACTTCAATTTAATTTTTCACTCCTAGCAGATAAACTTACTATTTAATAAATATTAATTAAAATTTTAACCATTGCTACTCTATGAAACTACTTTAAAATTAATAAATCAAATTAATAATAACTGAAATTTAAAATTATAAGCATTTTGTCAGTCAGGCATGCAAAAAATTGTTACTTATATAACACAATTATAAATCAAAAATAAACTAAAAAATCACTTCTAAAATACTCTAAATTATTAAATATAATAATCGTTCAATAACTCTTTCAATATCAGAAATTTGTAGTTAAAGCGTCGTTACTTTTAGCAATATTTAGATAATTTAGTTCAATTACTCTTACATTTTTAACACGAATATCATGAACATTGAATTAAAGCATTAAAACTCATCAACTTTCAGTTTATAGGTCAAACTACAATTTTACTTTCGTATGGATAAAATTGTAGTTTGATTAAAACGTAGAAACGTGTAGCTTAAATTAATTGTCATCAACACAATTATACCTTACATAGAGTATAGTTATACTTTGACGTATAAATCTGAAAAAAAAAGTAATTTAATAATGATTTTATGAGAAAACATCCAACTAATGAAAAAAAAGGCTAATTTTACTTTTGTTTGCGTTATTATAACGTACTTCCTAATATGATTGAACAATAATAAAATATGAAATTATAAATATAATTTATCTGTGAAGAATGAATGCCTGAGGTGAAAGTTAAATTATAGGAGAGGAAAAATTAAAAAAACATTGTAGCTTGTCAATTTTCATTTGAATAAATTTTATGTAGTTAAATTTCTGGAATAATAGTCTCGATGCAGGAACTTAAAACAGGAATTTTTATTATCATAGGTGAACAAGAATTACTGCAAAAATAGTACTAGAAAACTGCACTAATTTTTATCACAAATTAATTATCATACATCCAAAGGCTTTTATAAATTAACAAAAAAGTTAATCTCTCTCAAAAACAAATTCTTATATAAAAATTGCTTAAGCTATTGTATAAAAATCAAAATTAAGCTTTTAAATTTTTAATTTGATAATTTTCTTTCAGCAATTTTTAAATGAAAAAAAGGCAAGTTACTAGCAAAAACAAATTAAGTCATTTTGTTCTAACTGCTCAAACTAATTAACTTACTAGACTATAATTGTAATGCAAAAACAAAGCATTTGTATTTGCATATATTCAATCAATTTATGATAAAATCTATTGCTTATCAAAAAATATGCACAAAACAAAATGCAAAAGCAAAAATATATCAATGACTGATTAGTAAAAATTAAAAAAATTTTTTGATTCAACAGCCATTTGCCTTCTCATTGCTTGTTTAAAAATGTTACGTTTGTATTTTTATACAAGAATGGAAGTTTCAGTGAATTAATACAAAAATAATGAGATAGAACAAATTTTCTCTTTTTTCTTTCAGTGACATCAATAGATTTATTAAGTTTTTAAATTCTTAACTTGACAATTTTCTTTAAAATCATTTTTAAATGAAAAGAAGGCAAGTCACTTGCAATACACTGTTTCCATTTACTGAAAGATTGCATTACACAAATACTTAAATTAATGAATTTTCTATCACGAAATCATAAAATATTCATTTTTAATCTAAGATTGAAATCAAAATTCAAATTATTAACATTATATCATTGAACTCCATTCGAATACAATGCTTTCAGTATTCAAATTTTTGATGAATACAAGTGTGAAATGAAGAAAATGATGGAAGATAGTGCATAAATTCGAGCAACAATAAAGTTTGCATATTATATTTGATAAAATTGAAGTAGTCACATTGCATACTTTGAAGATACTAATTTAATTAAAAGTTAAGGAGTTAACTTTTACTGAAACAGAAAGAACCAATTTTAATTTGATGTAATATTTAATATATAAGTCTTAATGAATGATCATTCATAAATAACATTATTATAGTATATTTTCATTATATTTGACATTAAATAACTTTCTTTAGAAAGCGTAGCATAGCCAAAAATTATCATGTAATGCAGGTAATAAATTTTTTAGAACGTAAGCAATACGAACATTTCTACATTAAATAATGCCGAAACATTTAAGCTTGAATAATAATACTTTAATTAGATTAAATAAATACAGTATCTTAATTAAAGTGAACGAAAATAATGCACCATCATAAAATGCATGCTCAATACAATTCTAAAATTTCATACTCAAGCAGAAAATATATAATATGCAGATTTTAATAACAATTTAGAATAGATTTCGTACGTCATCTGAAAATATTTTTGAAGAAAAATTCAATAATCAAATTTTTGTACAGAATTTTTACACATTTAGCAAGTCTTAAATTTTTAAATAATTGCCAAGTTTATTTTTTTCTCTAAAAATTTCAAATAGTAGATAAAAATATATTATTAGTCATATC